TCCTAGGAAAGGAAAAGAGTCGTTTCTTCCGTAAAGAGCCAGAAAGGTGGGATTTTCCACACTGAAGCACCGGGGAGATTTCCCACGTGTGGCTGGATGCTGCCCTGGACTCCACCCCATATTGCATGCGGTGGCTCTGGAGCCAGTGTGCCCCCAGCGTGCTTGGGCTCCTAAATTTGGCAAATCCTATCATAAATTAGGCCAAATTTTCTTCCTCTGTACAAAAATGAAGGCAAGGAAGCTTCACCTGCAGAGTGTTTGGTCAGGATGGGGTGAAGGACCAGCTGCCGAGTGGTTGAAGGAGCTGCCATGCACTCGGTGCCTACACCACTGCCCTCCCATGTGCTCGCAGAGGTCCCCATGGTCGTGTCCTTGTAGAGCCTTGCACTGCGGCCAGCCCTCAGCCCCATGCTGCAGCTGAAGAAGTAAAAGCAAATAGTGCAACTGCCAGTGCAGAGTAAACGTGAGCAGTGAGGGTGCAGTGTGGGTAGCCAAGAGGGGAACTGTGAGTGAACTTTCCTGACGGTAATCAAGGAAATTACCACACGCACGCACGAGTGGAAAACTGGAAAGAAACTGTGATTCCCTCTACCAGAGAATACACAAAAAAGGGTCACTGCTGGCAATCAAAGAATGATCCAATTTCTGGGAGACTTAATTTGGTTCAGATGACTTCTGCAGTTACTTCAGAGCATGCAAAACAGGAAAACTCCACATGATGCGATGGCTTTTTCTCACACAACCCTCCAGATGGTTTCAGACCTCTGTGACTTGCTGGGAAGGTCAGCTGTACCACCATGTGCATTTGGTTATTAAAAATTTCAGTTGGGGCTTCATCTTACTTACATTATCTGCACTCTTTTCATCAGTTGAACGTGTTAATTGCATGGTCCTGTGATCGGAGTTTGGGGTAGAGAGAACAGAGCCCCAAGCCTGTTTCCTGAGTTTGCTTCTTTTTAAGGGAAAACCCCCTTGAGTCGGGGTGGGCATCCCCTCCCGTGTACATCCTCACCTGTGTGCATGCGTATTCTTATGTGTGCCTCAGTTCCCATCTGTACAGTGAGGTTATCAGTGCTTATTTCCTTTGTAAAAGGCATCAAGATGATTATTAATTATGAAAATAACAGCACACATCCACATGTTGCTGATAGGCATTATCGTAATTGCCGAGCTGAGGGCCATGCTGTGCTCATGCACGAGCTCTTTAAAGCAGCAACACTTCTGTTTGCTTAATGGCAGAGCAGTTGGTATTTTCTCATTGCTAGCATGCAATCTGTTTGTTTTACCCTTTGCTGTCAAATCGATTTAACGAAGGGATCGTTACAGAGGTTTGCACATGACATCAGGCATTGATCTGTGCAGAGAGGCAGCAACGTGCTTTCTCCCCGCGGGTGCCGCAGGCAAATGGCAAAGCAGTTCAGAGGAAGCAGTGTCGCACTAGAGCATCCTGACATCAAGGGAAGCTCAGGAAAAATCCTAAATACCCCCCATGAGCAGTGAAGACATTGTGATTACCGAGTGCACCATCAGCATGCCTCGGTCCATGCTGAACTGTGTTGTTTTTAAAAGGGTATCGTGTTAAGTAAATCCTGCTTAAGTGCCAGCATCATTCAGATGGTAAATTGCAATAAACTTTGCAAAGCGTGTGGGTATTCTCATAGCACTGTGGGTGTCTCGGCTGGGTTTGGCACCAACAGTCCTTTCAGCAGAGCTGTAATACTGCTGTCTGCATTTATAAAAGGTTGCTGATTAAAAGTCTGGAAAAGTGAGCAAGATTAAGGCTGTCGGAGGAGATGAAGGGGACAGATTTCTGCTTAAAGATCAGATATAAGAATCCCAAGTTTTTTTATCTGTCCTCATCTCTGCTGCAGATGGCTTGGGTGACCTTGTGGAGGCCATTTAATTGCTTTGTGCCTCTGTGAAAAGGCAGCAGCTGCCCTTTGTACTTTATGAAGCCAGTTGTGAGGTAAAGGCATTTTTTTCAAATGTTTGTCCACCACTTGGGATTATTTGCCTGAAAGGGGCGATTGTATAGAAAATCCGACTGATTCAACGTTGCTTAAAATTTGTTTGTGTGATCATCTGATTATGGTGTTTTCCTTGTAAAGATAAAGGCCTCGATCCAGAGAAATGTTTCAGCATGTGCTTCGCTGTAAGTCTGTGGGAGTGCTCATGTGTTGGTGGCTGGTGCTTGTGACCGGTGAAAATACGTCACTGTGAGGAACAATAGGGTCAGAGCTCTTCTCTCCTCCCACGGGCTTTCTCTTACTTGGTTTTCATTCTTGCTGCCACTCGTTCTCCATCACTAAGGTTTCTCTTAGGAGTTTCAAAAAGGCTTTTGTCCCTCTTGGTTGGCATGAAGTTTAGTGGAGACCCCATGAGCCGAAGCCCTTGCCTGTGCCCTGGCACTGTGGGATGCCCTTCTGGGCAGCCAGCATCCTTCACATCCCGCTCCTGCCCGTATCCCATGAGACGGCATCCTTCACATCCCGCTCCTGCCCGTATCCCATGAGACGGCATCCTTCACATCCCGCTCCTGCCTGTATCCCATGAGACTGCATCCTTCACATCCCGCTCGTGCCCGTATCCCATACGACAGTATTTGAACTGGTTGAGTAACCCGGAAAGTGAGGCCTCGCTGTGTGACATTCACACTGGCAGGGCAAGGCAGGTTGCTGCAAGAGAAGACAGCAGAGGTGGTGGTGGCGGCAGAGTACAAGCAGATAGCACCCCATCTTTGGTCTGCACAGATAGCCATATGGTAAAAGGGAGGTGGCATCAGCTTTCCACCTCTGATAATCATGAATTTAAGGAGAGAAGAAGATGGGTTCACAACTTCGTTTGCTCTATGTGGTTCTTGTCACCGAAAGGTGAGCGGGAGTCCCATCTGGATGGTGCTGAGCAGCGGCTGGAGCCGTCCCTGCCCAGCGAGGCGTGGTTTTCGTGGTGCTCAGTGCTGGTCCGGCAGCCTGGGCAAACAGGAAGCTGCGGGCTCTGTGTGGGCTCTGCATGGGCTGCGTGCAGGCTCTGCATCTCCCTGCCCGTCAGCTCTTGCAGCAGGGGCTGGGGGTGCGATGCAGCACAGGCTGTCCCCCCTGCCCTGCATGTCCCACAGCACACGAGGAAGCCTCGTGACGTCATGTCAAGAGATAACATTTAATCAAGGCAGTCGGAGAAAGGAAATAATTTTAGACCAAAGATTGCACTTTTATTTTAGGAATCCTGGCCGCTGTCATGTGGCGTATTACAGCCAGCAATCACCAAGGACGTCCTAAAGCAGTGTGAGTGCTGCACATCAGTGGTGGTTCCTTGCTGTGATCTGTATTGCATACACAGTACAATGTGCTTTGCTTTTGATTTGATGCTAAAAGGACAGCTACAGCTTCCTAATAAAGTGATTACATTTCACTTTAAAATAAAAATTAAAGTAATGATTAACTCTTGAAATTTTGATTGTGAATATATTCTTGTAAGAAAGAATTTATTAAAATCTTATATCGTGATTGCAGACTGACATTACAGATTTAAGGTTATTATTAGTTTATACCTTTTACCTGAAAAATATTGCCAGTTTGTAAAAGTACATTTTGCTACATTGCTACATTTTGCCCTTTACCGTGTAGGGGAAAAAAAATTGTGATCACACTGAAAATGTGAAAAATTGTGCTTTTAAAAATCCATACATGAATACTTGCTTTGAAAATCCTCAGTCTCTGTAATGAAGAGGATTTTTAAAAAGCAGAAATGGAGAAGAGGCTACTGCCTACTTTTGACTTATTTAAATATGCACAGAGCTTCCTCCATTTTAATCTTCCTTATAAAAAGATGGCTGTGTTACTAAAGCTGGCAACCCCTCAGAAACCAGCATCATTTTTTTGTCATACAGTTCAGCTGAGCAAGGCTAATGTGGAGTGGGGACCCCCTTCAGCCAACTAAGCAACCAGGACGATTCATAATTCATAAGTGCCTCCAGCCATCCAGCTGAATACATTTGGATTAGTTCTCGTTTCTTCGTGCAATCCCTGATTTCATTATTCTCTCCTGCGAGCAAATACACCCATGTTCAGCCCTCTGCAAAGATGCTATGCCAAGCTTGGCTTTGTCTGGGATTAGCAACTGCCGGGCTTTGGGGGATCTCTGGCTTTGATGAACGCTGATTTTTTTTATTGACTGGGGAAGGGGGATGTCCGTGTGCCCGAGGAGCTCTCCTGTCTGACCGGCGATTTCTCCGTGAGGATTTGTGGACGGTGGCGTGGAGTTTTCCAAAATGCCTGAAGCAAACTATTTGTTATCTGTATCTTGGGGTTATATTAAGGTGGGTTTAAATCCTGAAGGATTGTAAATGACTCGGTTTTTGTGCTGTATTGCTTGGATAAAACCTCTATAAGGAAAACATGCTTTTTAAATGGTTATTTATGTGTACTGTATGGCAAGAGATAAACATATGTGTGTACTGTGCATGCGGCGTACATGTATGTGCATTTTTTTTTCCCCTTTGGGAATTCACTGTTGTGAGATAAAATGATGCAGCAATGAAAATGTGTGATTAGAAAATTAGGAGGATCATAGCGTGTATATCTGGGTGAACAAATGCTTGAATCCTACATTTTACTGTAATGATCCAAGCAGATCTTCAGATTTATAGCATATTTCTCCTCTGTTCTGTTCTGAACATATGCAATTGTCTTCTACTTGCATAATTCAAAATGGAGCAAACTTACAAAATTCAGAACAAAAGAAGGTTATAGGATGTGGAATTTAAAACCAATACAAGAATTTGATCTTTCAGAGAGATTACCTGCAACGTTATCTTCTGTTACAGTAAAAACTAATATGCATCTTTGGAGGAAATGAATTTTGTAGTTTAGTGTACTGAAAAGAAATATGTAGTCATGATGATGCTGAACAGTATCTAAATGAAACCATATGTTGCTGACTGTTCCAAATATCTCCAGAATTTTGCTTTTAACATCTTGTTTGTGGACTTGCTTGTGAAACAGTTAGAGCTGTATTAGTTTGGAAGAGCATTCAGAAAAATGCCATCTTTGTGTATGTGCTCTTCTCCTCCCAGTTCAAGAGGATGCTGAACCGGGAGCTGACACACCTCTCCGAGATGAGCCGCTCTGGCAACCAGGTGTCCGAGTACATTTCCAACACTTTCCTGGGTAAGGCTTCGCATCCCAAGCTTTTGGGTGACTCAAAGATAACGATTAATGGCAGCCTAACACCCACCAGTCAATGCTTGTGCCTGGTTTTCCTTTGGGACAGAGCAGTATTTAAATGTTTTGATTTTTCACTTTCAAAATGGATGTGGGGAGGAAAATAATACAGTGTTTGAGTAAGTCTATCCACAGAAGAATTCCTTCGCCAAATCAAAAGATTTTTCTGTTCACATTGAATTAAGTTATTGGTAGCTGCATTATGCAATACTTGATTTTTGTGTTGACCTTATGGAAAGGACAAAGTCACACAAGCCCAGCTGCATACTCTCATCTTTGCAACTACTCCGTCTTACAGCTGCATCTTCACCCTTCAGAAACAGGGGTTCAGACAAGTAGGTTCAGCCCAGACATTTTATATATTACTTTGTGTGTATTTGCTCATTTTGCACTGGAAGTCAGAATAAAGAGTAAAGAGAATATTTTGCATTTCATTAGTTTTGTTGGAACTCATAGGACTACTGACATGAATTAATCCTCTGTGTTAACAAAATATATTTGTTATGAAAAATATAATTTTCTGTGTTTTCAAGCAGCTTAGAATTTGTGACCATTTGCATATAAAATGAAACTTAGCACAGGACCCTCATATACATATCTCTGAGTCCAACAGCTTCAAATGCTGTGTATGTGGGATGCCAGAGCTCGTGCGGGACTCGTGCCCTGCGGTTAAGATGGCCCAGAACACATTCGCTGTATGACAAACAATTATTTCCATTAAGGGATTTTAAAGTGATTTCAATAGCCAGTTGCAACTGGAACTACTGCATGCATTTAGGACACATCACATCATTAATAATCCATGTAAGTCTGTAGCTGCTTTGTGGGAATCCACTGGCCGTGTCTTATCGCTCAGCTTAATCATGACATCCAGAACATGAATTAATACAGGGAATAGAAGCAAGACTGCCTAGCTGCCAGCCAGCAGGCCACTTCTGCAGCTGGAGAGCCTGGAGCGTACACAGCGCACTGGGGAACATGACCACCATGGCATTTTCAGGGAGTTTGTTGTTTATCAGCTCTTGCCAGTAGGCATATGTCTCTGGAGCAGGATGTGCTGCAGCAGAAATACCCAATGTGGCTTGATACTGTGGACCTAACATAAAACTAATAAACCACACATACACTCAAGTCAGTGGAGTCTGTATCTCGGCAGGGGCTAATTAGCTGAAGCCGCTGCTGGTGCTAATGGGGCTGTATTATTCCCCATACTCAGGCTGGGTCAGGTAACTGCATTTCCCTTTGCAGGTCTTGAACAATGGTCTTGTTCATTCCTATTTTGCTGCTTCTCACATATTCTGTAATGGTGACGTCCTCACCGTTTTGTGGCAGTATGAGGGCCACTCAACCACTTAGGGCCGTATTAATGCCGAGTGGTACAGGCTCTCCAGATTGGGCCAGATTGCAACTTGATTGCTCATGTTAAAAAGAAATGTGTAAAGCTTTTAAGAGGATCTTAAAGCTTTTTTCAGAAGTCATGCTGTTACATTTTAATGAATTACTTTTTTCCCCCTAAAATTTGGTTTAAAATTAAATGAACTCACAAAGTAACAGGAGTCTACAACTGAGGAAGTTGAACAAAAAAAGAAAAGAAATATGTGGATAGGACATTTATTTACCTCCAGTGTTTGTTAGACGGGGATAACTTATAGATATTAAAACCAGATCACGTGACTTCATTCAGTCTCTTGACTTTCTTAAATGAGCTGAGGAAGGCACCAAGAAGTGACGTCCTCTGCAGAGGGGCCAGTCCTGCAGTCACCATTTGGTCAGTGAGAGCAAGGACGCCAGCTTTAGATCCGTATGAAGGACAAAGGTGAAAAACGGTGGTTTTATCGTTGGCCACGTCACGTAAATGGGGAAGATCATGATGGACTTTCAGCCCATGACCTTTCCTGAGGGGCGAGAGGTGTTGCTGCTGCCAGCACTGTGGGGACATGATTTAACAAATTAGAGATTTCTGTTCAAGAATGTCCATTTTACGCTGCCTTAGTGTTAGTCATTGCTAAGAGGATTATATAGAGGAAAGTCCTTCTGTTGTTCAGCAGAAACACACGAGGGAAACACCCATTGATGTCAGCTTGACTGTTGCTATGAATAATGGCTTCCTTCTTAATTGCAGTGTTGCAGACACACTGGTAGTTCCTATTTCAGAGATTTTTAATTAAGCCAAGGCAACAGTAACTAATGCCTAGATGCCTAGTCCCTCCAGAGGTCCTCAGAGATGCAAAGGTGCAAAGAGATTATAGTAGCCTTTTCTAAAAGTTCATGAAAAAATGGTTAGTATGAAAGTAGTGAGCCACTGTATCACCATTTTAATGCAGCAAATAAATCAGTTGTAAAGGCAGTAAGTAGCATATGTGGATAGATTTATTTATTAAACACATCTCCACAGCCCAGTTTGTGCCCCACTAGGTGCCTACTTAATGTGCACTAATATTGTTACTATCTCTGAACATGACAATAGAAATATGGCCAGTGCATTGTATGTTATTCTATACGTTTTTGTAAAGGGCAAACCTTTAATAAATCAGTGACACCAATTTGTTATTGGGTTGGTGTTTTAAGAGCAGGGGGTACGGAGATAGGTTTGGCCCTAGTAAGTATCAATAGAGTGAGTGTGAAAACGTACTTTATTGAGGAAAAATGTGTTGTTTGAGTATATATTGTATTTTCCTGAAAATAGGTAATAAAAATTAATTGAGATCTAGCCGTAAGCAGAACCTGGTGCCTTTCAGGCATGGAGAACTAGCTCCTGGGCACGTGCTGTGTCCCCAAGTGATGCGGCTTGAAAAAGGCTACAACGAAAGCAGCCTGGCGCTTCATGTCCCAGCAATGCTCAGTGGGAAGGTTCGGTCTTGCAGAGGGCAAACAGAGGTTATGTGGCTGTTTTGGTTTGATTTTAGTTCAGTTCAGTCCCAAAATTGGACGTCTCCAGCAGAAACACGTGGGTTTGAACTGGTGTGCAGAGCCACTTAATCAGCAAAGCTAAGGGTTGATTTTGGGGGGGTGTGATGGGTGCTTGCATTGCAAACAATGTTGACTCATTTCACCTTTATTTGTTACAGACAAGCAGAATGATGTGGAGATTCCTTCTCCCACCCAGAAAGACAGAGAGAAAAAGAAAAAACAGCAGCTCATGACACAGATCAGTGGAGTGAAAAAATTAATGCATAGTTCAAGCTTAAATAACACCAGCATTTCACGATTTGGTGTGAAAACAGAAAAGGAAGACCATCTGGCCAAGGTATGACAGATTCTTGCAGTTCTGGGAGAATCGGTATTACCTGGAAGCTGGGGAGGGACTGGCTGGATGGACTGCCCCTCCCTTGTAAAACTGGAATCAGTAGCCCTGAAGTGATGTGGCCATTACAAATGCTGTAATTAATGGTACCAGGCCCTAACAGCATATTCTATGTTCATAAATTCCTTGAAAATATCCCTAAAATAATAAAAAAAAGTGATGAAGGCTGAGGAGAGCAATTATCAAACACAGGAACGTATAACAACACTATGTCCAGCGAACTGGCTATGGGGCCTTTGTCTCTGTCGGGGCATTTCTTCTTGCTACCTGCAAACACACATCATAAATAATTCCCCTGCCACACAGAAAAATGTCGTCTCATTGTACAAGTGCTTTGGCATCAGCCCTTCACAGTTACTCTGTGTTCATGTACTTTATTAAGTACGTGTGTTCATGCACTTACATAATTACCATAATGAAGATTGAATTTGCATCTTTTTAAACTTTTGGAAAATGCAAAAGATGTCGTGCAAGTGATAAATGCAGAATTGTCTTGAAAAATATTGTAACCGTTCTCTTTTTGTCCTTTCAAAAGGAACTGGAAGATCTGAATAAGTGGGGTCTCAACATATTTAATGTTGCAAGGTATTCCCACAACAGGCCACTCACCTGTATTATGTACGCTATATTTCAGGTTCGTGATTTTCTGATCAAATTTGCTGTTCTTTTACAACACTATTTTAGTTTCTAATTGCTTTCTGTTTTGTCGTCTTCTACAGTATGACATCCTTATTTGATAAATGCATGTATGCTTGTACCATTTATTATACAGGAGCGAGATCTACTAAAAACATTCAAGATCTCATCTGACACTTTTGTAACGTACATGATGACACTAGAAGACCACTACCATTCGGACGTAGCTTACCACAACAGCCTCCATGCTGCTGATGTTGCCCAGTCCACACATGTTCTGCTCTCTACTCCTGCGCTGGATGTGAGTTACCTAGTTTGAGCTAAGTGCTTTGTGTTGGGCAATCGTCGTGTTTTAATGTGGGATGGCGGCTTAAAAACATCACACTACCTATGTGAACACAGAAGAAAAACCTTAAGCTGAGTCAATCCCCAGTAGCACTCAGACTTGCAAAAAGCAGTGTGCTGCCTGCTCTTCTGAGTGCTCAGTTTACTGCCAGGGACATCACCATTAAGAAATTTCAGCAGCAGCTTTGCCTGGAATCTCTGTTTCATCTTAAAGAGCACATGCTGCTTGTAGACCTTTCTTCTGAGTAAATGTCTTGTCCTCAGAAAACTAATTTAAAAAGCACAATTTGTTTCTCAAAATCAGCCTCACAAACCGTTGAGGGATAAAGCATAAGGACTTTTCTGACAAATTCCTTTTTTCCCTCCTAGGCTGTCTTCACTGATTTGGAAATCCTTGCTGCAATTTTTGCAGCTGCAATTCATGATGTGGATCACCCCGGTGTCTCCAATCAATTTCTTATTAATACAAGTGAGTTTTGTTTCAAATACAATAATAATTTCATCTGCAAACTTGGAAACTAATGGAAATGCATTTTCCATTACAGCGAGGTCACAAATTACGACTTTTAGACTGCATTGCATTCTCAAAATATTGTGCAGTAAACTAGTTAGATGTTTTGAAATAAAGCAGTAATTAAAATGAAATTCCCAACAAAGGAAGCTATTGTAGTGCAATTTGCAAGTGCCCTTGAATCTTGTGAATATTACTACTTGCTAACGCATAATAATTCTTCCAGTCCTGAGTGCAAATTTTATCATTAATATAAGATAAATAATGCTATTGCTATTGACAACAATAAAGCTAAATACTGTGGTTCATATTGTGTTCTGCAACAGGCTAAGCATGTATCTTGATTCCAAAATATGGGTATTGTTCTTTTTTGGAAAGTGCATTTGCAGGATTCATGCTTTCTGTTGTCAGTGATTCTGAAGCCCGTAACTAAGTCAACCAAGTACTATTTTGTTCATTAGAACTGAGCAAAGGGCTGTTTATATTATATTCATATGTGCTCAGATTAGAAAACCGCATGCTCTTGGCACACATGAAGCAAAATAAGAAAACTTTTCCCGATTTACTGCATACAGATAAATATTTCAGTACCCAGGACAAGTGTTTGCTGTTTGAAATCACACATTTCACATGCTGGAGTCACATATTTATGTTGCTTTGCTAGATTCTGAACTAGCCCTCATGTACAACGACGAATCTGTCTTGGAGAACCACCATCTCGCTGTGGGCTTCAAACTGCTTCAAGAGGAGCACTGTGACATCTTCCAGAACCTGACCAAGAAACAGCGTCAGACGCTCAGGAAGATGGTGATCGACATGGTATGAACTATGCACACCCTGCTCCTCTTCTTAAACAAAAAACTGGCTTCTTTGTATGGTTGCCCGTACTGAGATTGTGTTTTCACTTCTGTAAAGGTATTGGCAACAGATATGTCCAAGCATATGAGTCTCTTAGCTGATCTGAAGACTATGGTGGAAACTAAGAAAGTGACCAGTTCAGGAGTCCTCCTTCTGGACAACTACACAGACAGAATACAGGTACGTCTGCCAAATTTCCTGGATTTTGTGTATTTTGTTTGGGATTGAAGAAACCGTTCTCCTGTTTTTACTGTGGCTTTTAAATGGACCGTATATAGAAGCTACTGACCTAAATATTCAGCAATCATTTTCTTTTCTTCTGCACCACAAAAAGGTACGAGGTGGTCCCATATCTTTTAGGTAAAGGGGATTATGGTAGCATGGAACTGCAAACATGTACATTCTTCTGAAGTTAATCTATAAGGCTGGGTTTTTGAGGGCTCCTGAATTTTCTTGCTGCTTTCTCCCATTTGTTTCTCCTGTCAAAAAAGTATAGCAAGATTACTACAGCACTGTGAGATTGCAAGAACTTAATTTGTAACTCCATATCTAAAGCAACTCTTACACTGAGCTGAAATTAGTGATGTACAATCTGTTGCCTATATAATCTAATCCTTGATTTACAGAAATGACAAAGCAGTACTGGAACAGGGTTACGTAGTTAGTAGGACAAGATACATCCTGATCTTCTCTCCACTTTGATGGCCAGCTTCTTAAGAACAGACTCATGGGAAAACTCTCCTTACATTTTTATTTAAGACTGCTGATGTTAAAACAGGTCACTCTTGCTGCCTAAATCGTTGCAGCCACAGTTAGTCAGGCACATTTTTGTGTGTGTGTGGAAGGGATTAATAAAGTAGGAGCATTTAACCATCTGAGAGCACGCATTCAAAACCAAACGTATATGATGTAATTAACATTGCCACAACTGCACCCCGTGTAAGTATTGAGTTGTCTGAAAAACGTATAGCACGTTTTACTTTTGAAGCGGACTGTAGCAGCTAGTCTCCTATATGGAGATGTTACGATGTTAATATTTTTATAGGCTGTTGCATAATCAAAGAGTCTTGTGGTTAAATGTTCTGAATTAAGCAAGCAGATACAGCTTGAAACCGTCCTCTTTTTCCATTTGTTTTTATGAGTTTTCTGATTAATGTAATTGCAGGTTCTCCGAAATATGGTACATTGTGCGGACTTGAGTAATCCCACAAAGTCTCTGGAGCTGTACCGGCAGTGGACGGACAGGATCATGGAGGAGTTCTTCCAGCAAGGAGACAAAGAGCGAGAAAGAGGGATGGAAATCAGTCCAATGTGTGACAAACACACAGCGTCAGTAGAAAAATCACAGGTAATTGGCCATGAGCTGCATTTTTGTACTGCCTAAGCTTGTATTTTTAAAGCGGACACAAAATTCATCTGCTTTCTCTAGCACGATTAGACAAACAGACAGCTGTTCAGAGGGTTGGTTCTGATTGACCCTGATATCCAGCTGTACCTGAAGCTCATATAGACTGGCGAGGCTGTTGAGACTCCTTTATGTACCCTGTGGTGTCTCCTCATTTCCAAATGTGTGTTCATCTTGCCCTGTTTGCGTCCCAGTTTCCAGAGTGAGTTGGTTTCCTTTTGTTCCCCAGGCTTGAAAAGAGCAATTCTGATCTCCCCTTCTGCCAGGTCTCTTCTCCCTTCACGCCCTCCAGCCTCCTTAATTAGCACCTCCTAAACCTACTGATGTTGTACCCCGTGTTAGACATTTATAGCAAAGCCAGCCCCATTGAACTGCAGCGTTAGGAGCTTCTCCCAGCTGAGATCCACTTCAGGACACTGGAGAAGTCTGGATGTCAGCCGTTATTCAGCCTCATGCAGAACAGCTTTGCAGTGCCTCATCTGGCCGGTTAACTTAGAGATCTGATGGAGCTGCTGTGTGCCGGGTGAAGTCAAAGCAATATTTATTTATGTCAATACAAACCTTAAAAGGAGCTGGATGTGTCTTGTTTTTTGAGATTAACTGGCTCATCCCTAGTTCTGATTCATAGATTAAACGGTTTCAAGGTCAGATTTTGTTCTGACCTGTGTAGCACAGGCTGTAAAATTTCAGCCAGTTAGTCTGTAATGAAGCCGGTAATTTATGTTTGCCTAAACATATTCCAATCTTTACATAATGGTGTCTTGGTTGTTGTTTTTAAATGACTCGAGCAAGTCATCATCGAGGTTTTTCAGCTTGAATAAGTAACAAAATTGATGATAATTATTTCCAAATGTCCTCTAGGGCTAAGCCAAGTGGTTTCAAAATTATTCACTCAACCGCATGGTGATTTTGTTGGAAAAATCTGTCTTATTTGTTAGCCTAACAAGAAATGAATCCTTCGGCCAGGCTTGGCCAGAAAATGCCCATGTGCTCTGCATGTGAGCTCCGATTAATTTTTTGTTTCACATATGCACTTCACAGAGGTTTCAAAATGGCATTTTTGCTATGTAAAAAGAACAGGAATTGCACGAAATGGCTACCATTGAAATCCCAACTAGTGGCAAAGGAGAAAGGGAGGTGGCATGTGTGTTCTGGAGTGAAACAAGGAACTGATGGGAAAATAGTATGCAAGTATTTCAAAGCTCTAGATGGTACCTCTTTACATCAAAATATTTTAAGATCAGTGCTCAGCCATCTGGCCAGCTGTTCCATGATTTGGGATGTTTGTTTAAAGAAACAATGACCTGGTTACAAAGTGACCGATCTCTAGCCATTGGTGCTGTATAGCCCTTGAGCGTTTTGGGTGGTGTCGAAGCCATCAGCTAACCATACAGAACTTTTTTTTCACTTTAAAAGTGCTCCGGAACATGTGCTGCAGGAAATTTTCATCACCTTTTTGTTTAAGCTGCCTCAACAGTATGTTACAATTGAATGTTAATGGTTCTATTGACATCCTGTTGTGTCTGAAGGAGGCATGTGTGATTTCCAAAGCAAACATCTGCACGTTGAGTCTGGCCCCTTTGAGAGCCATTTTCCTGCTGCACAGAAATGTTGTCCAGTGGAGCGAGGAGAGAAGTGACACATTCTGCCAAGACGGAAGAATTTCAATCCTCTTTATGGCCATTCAGTTTTCTCCATCCTGGACGTACGTCCTCTTAGTCAGACAATTGAAAAATGATTTAGCTCAGAGCTTATGCGCCAACCGGCGGAAGGACTGACGGACTCGGCCACAACCCTCACTGTTTCCACCGCTGGCACATCACTCCATGGGAGTCAGGCAACAGTGGTCTGTCCGCCTTCGTGCGGGAGGATTACTTCTTGGGATGAGCTGACCTGCTTTCTGCACTCTTTCCAAAACAAAATGAAAGGAAAGGAAATCTCTACCAGGGTTGGCTCCGCAGAGAAACACAGTGGCTGCTTTGGCAGAGTAGAGGAGAAATGCTGAAATGTTTAAAGGTGCAAGACCATGAAACAGTTCAGAATAGGTACAAACTACACACCATAGTAAAATACACCTAAGGGTCAAACTTCAGTCCATAAAAGCAGTGACATTCGGCGTTAGGATGGCTGCTCGCGCTGGGAGCACTGGCATTTTCACAGCTGCCAGCCACATGCATACCGTGGGGTAGCGACAGCATTGCCATAAATGCACCAGCCTTGTCTGCAGTCACCAGGGAATCCTATCTGAGACGCAGCAAACTTTCTCAATGCTTAGGGTAGAGGCAATGATGGTCTGCAATGTCTTTCTGCACTAACAGCTGGTAAGAGGCATCCCTCGGTGGGATGTTCTCTCTTCAAAGTGATGGCTTACCCCGACTTCTGCAGGGCAGGGATTGAGCCGCTAGTCAGGAACAGACATCTACAGGGATATTTAAAATCACGCATGCAGCCAGAGATGGGATTGGCAGCTCCGTTGCTGAGTTTCCCAGTGGCTCCTGCTTTTAGTTAAACTTTCGTCCAAGGTTTGATTTTGGACAAGATGTCAAGCTAGTCCAACATTGTAGGTGCAGCTTTGGGTATCGGATGATTATGTCTGCAATTAGACTGTGCTGGTTTGGGGACTTGCTCTGGGACAGGTATTTTGCTTGTAAAAATCATGCATTAACAGCATTTGAACTTTTTAGATGCCCGTCTGCTCCTAGCCATTCCCTTCCCCTAAGAGTGCATGTTCCTGTGTTTCTCAGGTGGGATTCATTGACTACATCGTCCATCCGCTCTGGGAGACGTGGGCTGACCTGGTGCAGCCCGATGCCCAGGACATCCTGGATACTCTGGAGGACAACAGGAACTGGTACCAGAGCATGATACCTCAGAGCCCATCTCCTCCGCTGGAGGAGCGGGGCAGGGACTGTCAGAGCCTGATGGAGAAGTTCCAGTTTGAACTGACGCTGGAGGAGGAGGATTCAGATGGACCGGAGAAGGACGGCGAGAGCATCCGCTACTTCAGCAATACAAAGACACTCTGCGTGGCCGACCCAGGGGAAGAGGATTCACAGAGGGAGGCGAACATAGAAATTGTGACAGAAGATACGTCTCCTGTCGACACATAATGTCCTGTACCTGTGTGAGTGGATTTTAAACACTTAAAGAGCATGCAAGCAGTCTCACGGACTAGCCTGCAGCCTGGGTCTGAAGCCTGTGTCTAACATTGGCTGAAAGATCTTCCCAGCTACTTGAGATTGGAGTCAGGGTTAAAGATCGTGTAGTGAATGATTGCTCAGGAAATTAACAGGTGATTTACATTGTGGTTTAAGCCTTGTCAGCTAAGAGCATCATGTTGTCCTGGAGCTGGCTTGGGTCATGACTGAAGAGTAAATGACACACAACTGAGAGATTTTATACTGTTAGTTTTGGAATTTATACCAGTTAGACTGATAGAAACTACTGATTAATAACTCTCCATATAAAACCTGTCCACCTGACCACCTGTCTGCAGACCTGTGTGCCTTCTTTGTAAACACTTTCATGTCTTTTCAAGAGTCTATTAATTAAATACACGGAGTTTAGTATAAAAAGTGACACAAAGTGTTTCAAAATTGACGGATACTTTTTTGATTCTTCCTGTTACAAGAAGCAGTCTTCCTTTTTTCGTGGGCAATACCTGTCACTTTATTGCAGTTAATCACTTTTACAAACTAAATAGAAGGGAAACCCTCTGTTTCACATTACTGCACCTTTAATAGTCGTCTTAATATCCCAGGCGACCCATTTAAAGTCACTTCATGCCATCATGCACCATCTCTGTTCGCTTGCTAGGAATGACAGTATTTTTTCCTCAACGGGGTTTTATTTTTGTCATGCGCAGGATGGAGGGTAGTTTGTTCCCATGGCACAGCGCAGTACATATATAAGTAAGCGTGATAAGGCAGCGTGTGACGCGCATTCCCCCTCGGCAGCTCCTTGGCTCAGTGGAAGTTGCACGCTCGGATATTTGTGTTTCTCTCGCCTATCGTTCACGTTTCCTAGGTTTAGGTCCACCGTCCTCCTGCACTGCCTTGAGCTCTAACACCTCCATTACTGTTTATAACAGTGTATTTATTACGTAATGTATATACTGTAATGTTTTGTAAGTTATTAATTTATATGAATTAACATTGCCTGTCGGCGGCGATGTTAATTGTGTAGAAAACTCGGAATAAGAGTTGCCTTTTTTTCTTGTAACCTTTTGTATTGCATAAAATACAAGAACCTGAACATAGCTGAAGAGACAGACACAACCCAGGAAGGGCATTTGGGTGGCAGCCGCCCGCGGGGGGTTCGTCTTCATGGCGAGCGGAGCGGGACTGGACCCCAGGGCAGTGGGCGAGCGGTTGGAAGTGCAGAAAACCTAGAGGGGGGGAACCGAAAAAAAGAAACCCCCGTGAACGGGCCGGCTTTTAAATGTCACGTTCCAATTTCTGAACAACCCAATGTGAATTTCTATGACAAAAATGTGAACTGATGTAATAATTGTGCTGTGAAACTTCTTCTGACAAAGCTTGTCCGGCATCGTGAGCGGTGTCAATCTCAGTTTGTAAAATATGTTTCAAGCTTTTGGTCCAACTTGTGACTAACTAGTTAATGAAAATAGCACAGTTGTGCATGATCAATGGGTTTGTATGTCTGTTGAACACTGCATTGTTCCAGGTGGTTATTTTATTGTTTCCAAGAGTTTCACACAATGTATGTTATAGTATTATATATTGTGTTCAGATGCATTCTTAAGAGATTTTTATATGAAGTGAATAAATGAAAGCATGACCCTGCCTGCGGCTCTTCGTGCTGCTTTTTTTAACAGGTCGGCGTGGGCAGGATCTCAACCGCAGGCGAAAGCAGCTGCGCTCGCTGTGCTCGGCTGGGACCTGGCTGGCACCGGAGGTACAGTAAAACTGAACCCTCCCGTGGCCGAAACTCAGCGGACACACGGAGCCCTTGTCTTACAAACGGGAAAAGAAGGGTTTCTGCGGCCAGAGGGCACGGCCGCCCGCTCCATCATGCCAGCTGCGAGACCTTCGCCTTCCTGAGCGGCAGCCGGCGGCAGAGCGGGGCCGGTGCCGGTGGCAGCGGCGACAGGAAGGCGGTGCAGACAGGAAGGCGATGGCCGCGGCCGGCAGCGTAGCCTTCGCCCGGCACGGGGCGGCACCGGGGCCGGCTTGCAGGCTGCTTTCATGTCCTGGCCTGACCCAAAACAACTGACTTTCCAGTAAAAAAACATCCTGCCGGCAGGCGGTGGCGGGGACGAGGGGACAACAGGGATCCTGTGCCACTGGAGACTTCCCCCAGGCCACCCTCGCTGCAGGTGATGCCGGGGGAGCCAGCGGTTCCTGCTGTAGCACCATGTGGGTCTCCGCAGGCTTTGCCCAGACTCACTGGCTCCAAAATGAAGCCACGTGAAAGTGCAGATCCCCCATCCCGTGCCTGCCTTCCCACCCAGCACTTCATGGGAGCTGCGATTACCAACCCACCTTCATGCAAACGCCTCCTGTCCAGGTGGAAGGGGGCTTCAACCTCAGCTGACCCTGGGCTTGGCAGCTGACATTAACACTGGCTGTGCTCGGTGCCTGCCTTGCTGGGAGCAGGGACATCCCCATGCCTACCAGCTGCAACACCGACCAGGGTGTTTCTCCCAGCGCCTTGCCAGGGTTTTAACCATTAGTGAAAACTTCTTGGCGGTGCTGATACCAATTTATCTTTTCCAGTGAATTTACCTCTATTCATCGTTTACGTGTGCCTTTGCTGTGGTGGCTGCATCCCGCTGTGCCCGGCACTGTGCCCACGGCTCCCGGGGACGTGCAGAGATGGGAAACGGGTTATCGGCTGGAAAAACATTTGCAGTTCTGGGTGGAGAAAGTGGCCAACTAGGACAGACAGCAAAGAGCTGAAGTTGCAGGTGAACCACCAACCCACAGCCAGCGGACATGCTAGGGGGGCGGTGGTGTACCTGGGTGCAGGGCCAACACGGGCACGGGCTGCTCTGCCCTGGCCCCCTCCCCTCTGCCCGCGCTCCCTTCCCCTCTGCCAGACTTCGCTTGCTGTCTTTCTTTCCCTTCCAATGACCTAGTTCTGCCAGGCAGTGGCTTCATCGTGAGTACATGCAAACACGGTGGTGTTGCTCTGGCGCTGAAATAACAGCCTCCTTTCACTTCTCCTTCTCAGAAGCAGCAGAGAAAATGCACCGATGGCAGCTACGTTGCAAAACTAACCCGAATCCCTTCTGTTTTCCTTCAATTTTGGGGGTGGGAAATCCCAGTTCAGGTGCGGGGTGGCTTGCTGGCTCAGTTTTCCTCCTTTCCTTGGGGGATGAGGAACAGGTCTTGGCTCTGCCCATGGGGTTTGCATGGTTTCCTTCAGCATCAGAACCACATCCACGTGGAGGCAGCAATGTGGTGCTTCCTCCTCGCTCGTTAGCCACCCAGATGTGTGGTGCTGATGGGTGCCTGCTCCCCCTCCCCAGTGGTCCCCCCGTGGGTGCAGCCACGCAGCCTCCAGTGACCCCCCAGCAGGTCCTGGCTGCACCCAGAGGGGCTGGGAATCGCCGCTGCTCAGATATTGGGGGAAAGCAGGATGAAAAACAAAACCTGCAGGAAAACAGCGTGCAGAAAGTGTGCCTTTCCGGAGAGCGGGTGGCTCTGAGGTCTGCAACGGGGGCGTGCAACCAGGTGTGCAAGCCAGGCATGCAACCAGCTGTGCAACCATGGTGTGCAACTGCAATGTGCAACCAGGGAATGCAACTGAGCTGTGCAGCCCAGGTGTGCAATGGGGGAGTGCAATGCTCATTGGGGCTGGGTCCAGGAGGGGCTGGGGTTTGTGTGGGGTCGATGGTGCAGGACCCCAGCCCAGCTGGAGAGGCTCAGGACCTCCAGCCTTGGGGCCGCGGGATGAGAGGGAGCACACGCTGTCCCCTCCTTGCTGCCAGCATTAATGATGTATGTTGCCAACAGCCCCTACTTCAGCAGTGGCCGTGTGGCAGCCGTCCTCGAGGACATAGTTTCCCGCTGAGGCCATAGAACTGGGTTTTCAGGGGGGATTTCCACCAGCCATAAACCCACCCGCGGGTGTCAATCCTGGGGATGAGCCACTGTTCGCTCTGCGCCGGGAGCAGAGCTGGCCCTTCCTGGCTGCCTGGGGCACAGGGACAAGGGTCCCGCAGAGCCCCTGCCGCTGCCAGGAAACTTCTGACCTGGAGGTCAGCATTGTTAATAGAAACCATGATGCAAAGAAATAAAATAATAAACCAGCTCTGTTGCTTTTTCCCATGGCGCACAGGCGCTGTGCCTGCTCTCCTGGGTGTGGGGCCAGTTTTCCATGTTCTTTTTTCCCTCTGGTCCGTAGGAGTTAGGGATGAGCATGGGCGTTCCCACCTGCTGTCCGCCGCAGCAATGCAAGCTGATGCTGGTCCCTGCCGCAGCCTGAGCCGCTCGTGTTGTTCTCCCCCGGTGGAAAGTGTTGAAGAAATCTTGGGTTTCTTCCGAGGAAATGCTTCAAGAATGCGGATTTCTCATCTGAATAACAACATGCAGCGGCAGCTTTGTGCCAAGCCATGGGGCCAGCGTTTGGGGGTGTCCCGTGCCCCTCACCACAGGCCTGGCTGGGGACAGGGATGCGGGTCCCTGCACTGAGGCCACTAGACGCCAAACATCGGGATGGCTGAAGCCACAGCAATTGCCTCTGGTTTGCATAAGTAGCAAAAACACCTTTAGAAATGTGCTTTTATTGCAATGGGTGCTCGGTGCCTGGAAGCTGAATGCTTCTGCTCATGTTTCAGCCCCACCAAGGTTTGCTTCATGTCTATCACGTTCGCATGGGGGATGCCCCATGTCACTGAGCACAGTCCACAGCACTGTGTCCCTCTGTGTGCCAACCAGCAGGATGAAGCACTTCCCAGGTTATAATTCAACCGTAAGGATTTGCAAAGTGCTGGAAACGGTTTGCTAGCCAAGGAGATTTAGCTGCCACTGGCTTAGAGTTCACCTAAAAGTCCTACAGATGAAAAAAAAGAAATGAAAATCTGAAGCACTGACAGTTTTGTAGTCAAAAACAGGAAGGAGCTGGGGGCTGGCATGCAAAGCACAGATTTTATCGAGTCTGCGGCGCTGGAACAGAGCCCAAGGGCTCACGGCACCGGTAGCCTCCGTGCAAAGGGGAGGTGGGTGTCCCAGTTCAGCAGCGGGGACACCAGCTGGGATCCTCCCAGGGCTGGCCAGGAAGGACAGGGCAGATTGTAGCCCAGCTGATGCAATTTAAGATGTGTTTAGGTGTTTTAGCTCTCCCAAATGTCCCTTTTGGGGTGATACAAGGAACCCGTCTGCGAGGGCTCCCTGTCCCCAAGGGCTCCCCATGCCCAACAGCTCCCCATCCCCGAGGGCTCCCACCCCTGAGGGCATCCCTGCCCCTGCTCTCACTGCATGAGTTTCTGGTTTATTGGAGGGTATTTCTACCATCCTGGTCAGATGCCATCACCACTTCTGTCATTGCAGTGCTGTGGGAGGTTGGGGACAGCAAAGCTCTGGCCTGCATGGGGCTGTGGGATGCACCCCTGTTGCAGGGGCAGGACAGGCTCTGCAGCCCCCTTACCTGCCCAGAGCGGGCTCTCCCGGGACACCCGTTCATGTTATGGGGTTACCCACCCCGCGACTTACTTACTGGTGGGAGCACTCGGATTCACATGCTGTGAGCTGGGTGCAGATTGTGCTGGCAGCGCGGTTACGCATGAGGGGCCAAACGCTGCCTTTGCTCATGGCAGCTGGGCCAGCTGCAGTCTGGCACCGTTTTGGGGGGCTGCAGGGGTGCTGGTGAAGGGCTGACCCAGAGGGGACAGCAGGACAAGCCTGGGGACATCCTCATCCCCACAGCAAGCTTCTCATTTCAGAGAGAAGATGGCTGCAATTAAAAAAAAAAATCTATATTGCAGAAGACATTTCCCTGCAGGAGGGGGTCGTTGCTGCCAGCGGGTCCTGCCATGGGTCCCACACGGGGTTGCTGGCTCCTCTGGGTCCCCCCTGCCCCTGTTGCTGGTGTTTGAAGCAGCTTCAGATGGGGCCAAGCAGAGGATTTTGGTTATATGAAATAGTTCTCTTCTATTTCTTCCTTTGCCTTTGCCACCCTCCCACCTTGCTGCCTTGGATGGGCCCTGCGAGCGGCCCTGCTTTGGCCAGGCATCACACCACACTTCAGGGTGCACCCCGCTGTTTGGGATGCAGCATGCCACATGTTGGGGTGCAGCATGCTGCAGTTCAGGGTGCATCATGCAGCATTTTGGGGCTGACTGGCTGGTCTGAGGAGGGCATCACCGCCATGCTGCGGACAGATTTCAGTCTGTGACAATAGCAGGGCCAGGTAGCTGTCCCCAGGCAGTGCGGGTCCCCACGGCACGGGGCTCAGCCCGCTGCCAGCCCCATCCTGCCTGCACAGGGCTGCCTGCACAGCTATACAGCTCCCATCCTGCCCGCGCCCGGCTGCCTGCACAGCTGTACAGCTCCATCTGCCGAGGCCCCACACCACTGCACAGCGCAGCGCACACTGTGGGACGCTGCACAGCCGGGATGTGCATGGCGGGGATGTCCACTGCGGGGGACACAGCTCGGACATGCACAGCGGGGACACAGGCGGCAGGGGTATGCACAGCAGGGTCATGCACAGCAGGGACACGCACAGTCGGAGCCCAGCACAGCTGGAGCTACGCACAACTGGAGACCCAGGCAGCTGGAGCAGTTCATGGCTGGGCCCCAAACAGCTGGAGACATGCCCAGCCGCGGTCCCACATAGTC